ACACACACACACACACACACACACAAAGTAAGTAAATAAAATGTAATTTTTAAAAAGTTGTGCTTAACACAAGTAGTCCATTAACCTCCCCTGCTTCTTAGGCCCCAAAGAGCCTAAGCAACCAGGAAAGGAAGATTTCTAGTCATAAAGATTAAGTCCAACTCCTCCCTCCTTTCTTCTGTCTCTCCTGGGGATGGAACCGAGGGGCTCAAACATGCAAGGCAAACAGAACACGCCACTACTGAGTCACTGCTGTCCACAGCTCTACTTTTGTTTTTTATTTTTTGAAGAAACAAAAAGTTGGGCCAGCAAGGCAACTCAGTGGGTGAGAACCCTGCTGTTCGCTACACCTACACTTACATATACATAGCTCAAACACACTCGAGTACACACACGTGCACGCACGCTCATGCACACGTGGGTATGCACACACAATAATGACGAAGTTAAGAACAAATTTAAAACCAAGGTTTAACTGACCTATCCCAAAAGGAATAAAAGTTTCTTTTTTCAAGAGTTGTCCCTGGTCATCCAGAAACCGATCAGGACAGAAGTCATCTGGCTTCTCCCAAATGGCTGGGTCTCTGTGTACCGACCACAAGTTGGGGATGACCACTGTGCCTTTAGGAATAGTGTATCCTTGGAGGACTGCAGACAACAAAGAGAAGTCAGTGCCTCACTCTCACTATTGGTTTTCTTCAAACATCACTGTGTTAAGAGTGAAATTATTTACCTCCTTAACACTGTAATTGATGGAGACCAAATTCTGAGGTTCTTGAGGGGAGGGGTAAGATCTTATCAATCAGTACTTTCTCTCTGCTTTGCCCCAGACCCAGCCTGAGATGGGAGTGGTGGAGTTAGGTGTTGGATCAAGTCAGGCCCTATGAGCCAAGTCAGGCCATAAAACTTATAATCAAGAAAACACTAAAACAGAAATAGGACATTCTAGGTAAACTTTCCCCAAGATTTATATACTCTTAAAAATTACACAGAAACGTGTCTTAGTTAAGGTTACTATTACTGTAATGAAATAGCATGACTAAAGCAACTTAGAAAGAAAGGGTTTATTTGTCTTATACTTTTCATTTCCTTTTTTTGTTTGTTTGTTTTTTGTTTTTTTGGTCTTTTTTTGAGACAGGGTTTCTCCATAGCTTTGGAGCCTGTCCTGAAACTGGCTTTATAGACCATAATGGCCTCAAACTCACAGGGATCTGCCTGCCTCTGAGTGCTGGGATTAAAGGTGATCATCTCCACCACCCCCCAGCTACACTTTCATTTCAGTGTCCATCATTGAAGGAAGTCAGGACAGGAACTCACAGGTCAGGATCCTGGAGGCAGGAGCTGATGCAGAGGCCATGGAGGGGTGCTGCTTACTGACTTGCTCACATGGCTTGCTCAGCCTGCTTTCTTATAGAACCCAGGGTCCAGGGATGGCACCACTTACAATAGGCTGGGCCCTCACCCATCGATCACTAATTAAGAAAATGCCCTATAGCAGCAGTTTTCAACCTGTGGGTGGAGACCCCTATGGGGGTAGAACGACCCTTTCACAGGGGTTGCCTCAGACCATCAGAAATATCAGACATTTACATTATGATTCATAACTAGCAAAATTACAGTTATGATGTAGCAACGAAAATAATTTTATGGCTGAGGTCACCACCTGAGGAACTGTAATAAGGCAGAACGGTCAGAGCATTAGGAAGGTGGAGAACCACTGCCCTAGAGGATTGCCTACAGCCCAATCTTAAGTGAGGTTCCCTCCTCTCAGATGACATTAGCTTGTGTCAAGTTGACATAAAACTGTCCAGCACAGGATGGAACAGCTTACAGGCTTTTCTGTCCAATTTGATGGGGAGGGCATACTAAGAAAAAAGACCTGCAGGGAACTCAAATTGCACTAGTACCAGCTGCAGGCTGGCTAATACCACACAGGTGCCGGCTACTACAGTTGAGTCTAATTTGCATTCTGTCTCAAGAAGCCTTAAATTTTGCCCTTGCCATCAACCTCTGTCTGTCTCTTTGAAACAGAGTTACAATTCTCCTGCTTCAGCCTCCCTGGGATTACAGGTGTGTAGCATCCTTCCTTATAAAGAGGGTTAAAGGCATGCTGGACTCCACCATGTGATAGGTTAAAGTTCCTGACCCTAGAATCAGGCTGGGACATTTCAATTTTTAAATAATTACACTTTGGTTGCAGAATTTTAAAAACCAAAGTGGGCAAATTTGGGGAAGACTAAAGGGGCCACTGTCAACTCCAGAATTTCGTCTGCCCAAATAGCTGACTTGGAGGATGACATCATATTTTGCTAATGTAAGTGTGAGTGTACCAGAGGCCATCCTGGTAACGACTACGGTGCCTGCACCAATGATGACCATTAAGTGTCAAAACAATCCCTGGACCTTTCAGCCTGGATCACAGAGCTAGTTCTGCTGTGATCACAGCCCTCCCCACACTGCGCACCCTCAGGGGCATGCAGAGAAGGCAGGCTCCTGACTTGCCTGTTTTCTCCGAAGTCATATGAGGAATGGCAAGTGGCACTGCCATGGATAGCCTCTGCACCTCCATGATGGTGGCTTCTGTGTATGGCATCTGGGCCTTGTCCGTGAGGGAAGGAACCCGGTCACAACCAATGACCCTTTCAATTTCTTCATGAACTTTTTCTATGCAAAAAGGAAAGAAGAAAGCACAGATAAGCCCGGGAGTGCCGAGTCAGCACTGTTATGCAAACTTTACCCAGTGAGGGATAACTGTGGCCTCATTCAAGATTGGTAGAGACATAAGCCATTGGGCTGGAGCTCTGCAGGACAGACGTGCAGAAGAAACAGCATGTTGGACTCAGGGGCACCCAACAGTCAACTCTTATGTGACTCTCTAAGTTGTAACATCACATGGAAGTTCAGAATACCCAAGAAACCCTACCTGTGGGGTTGCTGTAGTTGAAGACATCCTTCAAAAGCCTGTGGTTGCACACCTGTTCTCCACAGTGGTGTCATTATAAGGGAGAACCTTGTGGGAGGATTTAGGTTCAAGGGGTATGCCCTTGAAGAGAATTGTGCAACTCTGGAACTTCCATGTCTTCTGCATCTGCCCAGAGGAAATTCCCCTCCACAATGCACTGTCTTAACCACAGGCACCATGGCAATAGAGCCAACTGGTCATAGACTGAATGCCAGAAACCACCAGCCAAAATACTTCTCTCATGTAAGTAGATTAGCAATCCCACTTTGTTGCAGCATTGAAAAGCTAGCTAGGTTCATGTGAGTGTGTGTACTCCTCACCAACCTGGATTCTTGAGACTCAAAAACTTTATATAATAACAAAGTTACTGTTTTAGGCAACTAAGTTTGGGAATAATCTGTTGCTTAGTAATAGATAGTTAAAATAGGTAGCCACAATGACGACTACAGTAAGGAAAAAATGGACCCTTAAAGGAGTTCACAACTCCATCCCCTGATGCTTTGTAAATGGGATACCCTTCCATGGTGTCTTGGTCTGTTTTCAGTCTCTGTAACAGCAAACTTGAAGCTCACAGTTTTGGAAGACCCAAGTCTAAGAACAGCAGCTCTTTGGTTACATCAAAGCCCTGCAGTTAGCAGGGACAGGTCACATGGCAAACAGGAATCCAGAGGGACTCCGGCCAAGGCTGCTCCTTTTGTAAAAACCCACTCTCATGGGAACTAACTAGGTTCCCGTGAGAACTACATTAACCTGTTGGGGGAAGTGAGAGCTGGCGTGGGAAAGGGATTCCACCATGCTTTTCTATTTCTTCCTTCATGTACTTGAACTCCTCAGGAATCCTTGTCTCCAGAATAAGCTTTCTGAGGTTCCTGTGACTAATTACCTTGCTTCAGGTATCTCAAGGTTCTACTTCCTCAATGTGACACCACCAACGACCAAATTTCCAGCACATGAACCTTTTGGGGATACCTTCAAATCATATCCCACTGATAGTGTATAGCTGAAGGGATTTCGCTGACCCAACTAAATTAAGGATGTAAACATGGGGAACACATCCTGAGCTAGTCAGTGTATCTCCCTGTACGTACAGTTATATGCTATGGGATAACACTAGTTGATCACAGAACATACAAACAAGTATGGTCCTGTAAGGCGGTATTGCCTAGTGACACTACCTTCCTTTAAGCGTACTCTGTGATTACAGTGATGAAATCATCCAATGTCATATTCTCAGAACATGAACCCGTTACTAAGCACATGGGCTTTAATCAGATCGTCTTCCCCAGCCAAATTTAAGTTAGAAGGAGATCTGAACACGGAAGCCTGGTCAGAGTGCTGCAGCTTCACTGACTCTGGAGACAGAGAAAATGACCACAAGTCAAGCAAGCCGGAAAGAGTAAGGAAATGGATTTTCCTCTAGGGCCTCCAGAGAGCGACACAGCCTGCTCAACACCCCTGTCTATAGTCCAGGGAAGCACACACCACACTTCTGAGATAGTCTTAGAATAAATTCAGGTGTGTTTAAGTGACAAGGTTTGTGGTGACTAGTGACAGCTAAAGAAGAAACCAATCTACCACGCTCCCGTACTCATCTGGTGTTAACTGCCACTGCCACGTGCTGTCCCTGGGCTGATGTGGTGGTACCAGCTGTGACTTTCACTGGCTTTGGGGGGCCTGTGTTCTCCATTTTCAGAACAGGATGAAAAGGTTCGGATGTACATTATGATTTGCTTAGCCCTAAAACACCCACTTCCTGACGGTCCTTCACTTCCATGGATCCCACAGGGACCTGGACAGTGGAGCCTGAAGCAGGGGTGAGCGAGCACTAGCCCATCTAGAAACTCGGGGGCTTCACTGTTCACATCTTAAGCTCCCTATAAAAATGCAAGTTGTTTTCCAACCTGGAAACATGAGTGCCCGGAGCCAGCAGATCACAGAGGTTGCGACCTGGTTTTATAACCTGCCTTTAGCCTGAGGAAAGAACAAATCTACCAATTACTTTGCACGTCAGGGTTCAGTGACATATACAGCAGGCACCAAAGCAAAGAGTTGGTTGTGGTGTCAGTGCCAGCAATGAAGAGGTCCCCAATGATGTAGAACAGGTAGTCCTCACTGAAGCTGGTGCTGCTGCTGGCTCTCCTCTCCGCCTCCACATGCAGAAGGTACATGTCTATGAAGTCCTGAGGGTTGCTGGCGTCCAGAGACTCCTGATGCTCTTTGATGATGTTTTTAAGGAAGCAGGTGATGTCCCTTTCAATCTGCCTCAGTTCCTTACAGGGCCCAAAGGGAAGGTAGTAAAACCAGGAGCATAAGTTAATCAGGAAGAGCTGGCTGTGCAAGCAGATTTCTAACCCTCGAGACATGAAGTCCAGCACCTTCTTAAACTCCGTGTTCGTGTAATCGAAGCGCTGGCCGAAACACAAGGAACAGATGATGTTAGAGACGGCATTGCTGATGATGGGGAAGGGGCTGAAGGGGGCGTCTCCGTGCTTTTGCATTTCCTCTTTTACGTACTTGAACTCCTCAATAATCTTGGGTTCCAGGCTAAGCTTTCCCAAACCGAAATGACGAAGTGTCGAATGGGAGAACTTCCTCTGCTGCTTCCAGACTGCACCATAGTGTGCAAACACAATTCCTGTGAAAGACAGAGGAAGGTGAGAGCAAAGCCTGGGAACAGCAAGCAGGACATACCAGGAGGTATGTTCAAGGTCTCTTGGCCAAAGTTCATATGCAGATAAAGACAAGCAGCCAGGTTCATGTTTCAGTATAAAGACATTTGCTCCCAATAAACGCTGAGTCTAAGTTAGGGTCACTTGCTATAAAGTTATTATTTATTATAACTTCTGGGAAAATGAAAAGCAATGAGTTTTGATGACTAAAATTATTGCGAACTTAAATATCTCTATATGTCACAACAGTAGATTCAGGCTTTAAACATCTTTCAAACAAAAAGCACCCATACTTTTAGCAGGCTTTCTTTTGTACCACCAAACAGCTCCCAAATCATGACACGGGGACTTATTGCTAAGTAAATGCTCAGCCTTATCTTATGCTTGTCCCACTAGCTCTGATAGCTTATTTTAACCTGTTTCTCTTCATCTATATTTTGCTTCAGGGCTTTTTACCTTTCTTTCATTCCGTATGTCCTACCCCATGTATGGCCGGCTGGTGGCTGCCTGGCTGGCTGGCTCCAGGCATCTCTCTGTTTCTCCCTCGTTCTTTTCTCTCTGTCCACCAGTCCCACCTATCCCTCTACTGACTAGCTATTGGCTGTTCAGCTTTTTATTAGACCAATCAAGTGCCTTAGGCAGGCAAAGCAACACATAGTTAAATAAATAAATGCAGCATAAACAAATACATCTTTGCCTAGTTAAAGTGATATTCCACAACACATACTCAAAATGCCATATTCTAAGCACCATGCACAGAAGTATAACCACAGTGCCAGACTGACACAGATGCAGAAAGCACACCACCTGGCTTTCCACTCAAACCCCAGCTTCTGCAGTGCTGTGTACACAGCAGACACTTGCTAAAGCATTGGCTGAATAAATGAACACCCCATCTGGGAGAGAACCACTAGGGGTCAGTAAATGTTAAGTAATCAAATATAGGCTGAGGGCAAAAATCTGAAGCACCTGAACTCAAGAGCTGCATCCTACTTGATCCGAACATGTGCATCTCCTACCATGGAGCCCAACAGAACTGCTCCTCGATGGACCAACTATTATCAAGGGTGTCTTACTTCCCGCTACCCACTTCATCCTTTTAGTTTCCACGATGTCCTTTATCATGTTGGCCAGTTTTCCTCCTGTGGGGAGCAGATGAAGTCCTGGACAATGTGTGTTGCTGACTTGAGCATGACCATGTTCAGGACCCCAATGCCGCAGACTAAGGAACAGCAAAGCCACCCAAACAGTATCACAAGCTAGGACCAAGTGTTGAAACACATGAGCCTGTGGAGGACATTCCACATCCAAACTACCAACACCACCATGTTCTGAGTCCTTTGCATGTGGTGTGCAGGACAGTGCACAGGAAATGCTGACCTGGTTCTCTTGTTGAGTTCTTTTATTCTGTAAGTACCGCTATGAGGTGTCCTTCAAGAGTGAGGGTTCGGCTCAGTCATACAGTACATAACTACCATGCACAAAGCCCTGAGTTCAATCCCCAGCAGTGGGAAAAAGAGAAACATTTCAGTATAAACATCTATGTAGATAAATGCAGGGTTGAATATGGACTTCCTCCAAATTTTAAAGATATCACTATGAGCCATCACATGAATACACATTGTCAAATTACTGTCCTAGATAGAGTAAGAGTGGAGCAGAAGAACACCTACAAGTAAGTATATGGATGCCGTTTGTTCTAAGCAGCAGCCATCACTCAGTATTTGTAGTTTTTTATTTTCACCACTAGAGGGTTGAAGTGTACATTTTCATTTGCCTTTCTGTGTGGGTCATTGATGGGTTTATTTCACCATTCATACCTACTGTGTGGATATTTTCTTCCTATATATTTTAAATACAGTTAACCTCTCTCATCATGTGATCTTTTTGATAAGCGTAAGTTGATGGATGATGCCATTCTGTATGTATGTTTCTAGTTAATCTCTCTCATCATGTGATTTTTTTGATAAGCGTAAGTTGATGGATGATGCCATTCTGTATGTATGTTTCTCTTATTGGCCAATGGAGTCAGGAAGATAGGCAGGACTAGGAGACAAGGAGAATTCTGAGAAAGGTAAGCAGAGAGAGACCATGAGAAACACCACTCTCTGCCTTAGTCAATTGACTATCTCTTACTGCATCTGGAGCTCACCAGTAGGCTGGTAGCCTGTTGCTGGACATTTGAGCACACTGTGTGAAATGCACCTTCTGATTGGTTTTATAAAGAGCTGAAGGGCCAATAGATAGGCAAGAGAGAATAGGCGGGACTTCTGGATTCACCAGAGAGCAGCAGAGGGAGTTGGATATATAGTATGGAGAGGTAATGATCCTGGTGGCAGAATGTAGACTAATATAAAAGGGTTCATTTAAGTTATAAGAGCTATTTGGGAACAAGATTAAGCTAAGGCCTAGCTTTCATAATTAATAAGAACTCTCTATGCCATTTGAGAACTGGTAGTACAAAGAAAGTCCAACTACAGTAGCCAGATGTCTCAGCATTTGGAACTCTATTCCGAACATCAGTTCTGTTCACTGTGGCCGACAGCTATAAAGTCAAGGAGCTGCCACTTAAATTGGATTGGGGTATAGAGAACATTGGAGGTCCAAGCCAAGATACACTTCCTTGTCTTCTTTCATGAGTGGCCAGATTAGTTGGATGTTCTTGGCCTAAATTTCATACAGAGTAAACTTCCAAAGACTTCTTTCTGTCTTAATCTAGAAGCATCTTGCACAGGGGCTGTCATATGTCCTCTGTCTTGAACCCATCTCTAGCCAAGAGGCCAATATGGTGCAGTGTAACCCAGAGCATTCATCTTCCGTCTCCTGCAGAGGCTGGAGTGGTCTTAGGAACAAGAGCTAAGTACAGGTTATGTAACATCCAAATCCCACCTGTGTTAGCCCAATGCTCATGCTGTCTCCTCGGATTACAGGTGCCTCTAATTCCAGAGCCTCTCTGGGGCCCTGACGGGGGAGTTTCCATAGGAAACTTAGGAATCAGGTGAGGGAGGGGATGCCGAAATGTGAAGTCCTGAACAGAAGCACATATGCCACCCACCAGGAAGTAAAGTGACGGCTTCAGTCTTGTACTTCAGTGTCTAAAGATAGAATACAGGATTGGGAGATGGCTGAAGAGTCAAGATCAACACTTCAGTGTCTGCAGAGGGAGATACACATGGAGTATGGGGGCAGAGTAGAAACTGTCGGGCACAGTCTTGAAATATCCTCTGTCCCTCCCCCAGTATTCTTTTAAACTTAATTTCAGGCAAGCTCTTAAGACATGGATAGACAGCAGCCATGTCTTTTTGTGAAATTATTAGAGAGACTAGGAACAAAAACATTTGGTTCAACAGGCTCCTGTTGGCTTCTGGACTTTATATTATTTACTTTATTTATTTATTTATTTATTCCACCATTGAGCCCAACGGAACTGCTCCTTGATGGACCAACTATTATCAAGGGTGTCTTACTTCCTGCTACCCACTTCATCCTTTTAGTTTCCACGATGTCCTTTATCATGTTGGCGTGTAACAGTCTTGACTGTCCTGGAACTTGCTTTGTAGACCAGGCTGGCCTTGAACTCACTGAAGATCCACCTGCCTCTGCCTCACAAGTGCTGGGATTAAAGGTGTGTGCCACCACTGCCCGGCTGGCTTCTAGACTTTCTTATACTTTTGGAGTTGAAAGTCACTGGGTAGAGGGGGGCCTTGAAGTCAGTTCAAGCCACCCCAAGACCAAGTTCTCAGCACAAAGATTTATTTGTCCCAGAGTGACACCGGGCAGGGAATAAGAGACAAACACAGGAGACAGAGTAGGCGGGAGAAGGGGAAGGGAACAGGGGGAGAGAAAAGGGGCAAGAGAGGGGGAAGGGATATTTGTCGGGGAGTGATGACAAAGGAGTGTCTCTGGATAGAGAGGAGGCAGATGTGGCCCATAGGCAAATGGCAGTTTATAAAGGTAAAATGAGAAACCCAGTGATAGGATGAGCTGGTTAGTTTTGATTGTGCATGTTACTGAAGGTGGCCAAAGGGGACTTTTGATTGCTGGACTTCAATACTTTGATAGTTGAACTCTGGTAGTCAGCCTTGGGAGGAGGAAGTGGCCAAACGAGGGAACGGACCTTTAGGGCTGTAATCTAGCTGTTTTTAGGAAGGCAGAGGGAATGGGGGAAAGGGCAAGGCTTGCCAGAGAGAGCCATGTTTGCCATGCTCGGGAGAGCCATGTTTGCCATGCTCGGGCTGGCTAGAGTTCCTTCACTGGGTGAAAACAATTTTCTCTTCCCTTTTCTAACGCGACCAAAGTTAGAAATGCCGGGGTCACAGACCTATGAGTGAGGAGGCCTCGCGCGGGACAGAGAAGGGCTGGCTCGCAGGAGGGTGGCCCCTGATTTCACACTTCGGCATGCCCCCCCACCCCTAACTTTCCCGTGGCTCTCCCACTTTGATCTCCCGCTAGAAACTAGCCTCCAGCACCGGCCTGCTCACCCTTCTCCTTGGTCATGATGGAGATGAGCGGCATGCGCGG